GAGAGAGAGAGAGAGAGAGAGAGAGAGAGAGAGAGGGAGAAAGAACCAAGATACTTGAATTATTTTAGTGTACATATCCTCGTTTCTCGAGAAAATAATTAATTCTTACGCGACAATGATATTGCTGACAATTAATCGATCGATTCAACGCGAGTTTCGAACTAAACGCGCGTCCACGTCGCAAAGAATGAAGCGATCGAAGCGAGAAGCGAATGTGTGTCGCTTGAGGGTTGAAGAAGTGGTTACGCGCGATCCGATCGTTCCACCCTGTTGTAACCATTATGTTATCCTTTACTCTTGAAGGTGATAGGTGGCGAGTTGCAGGAACGTTTGATACCGGTACCCTACAGCAAGAGTTCGACAGACCAAGCTGTAAGCGCTCCTCTCTCTTGCTCTATCTTTTCTTTCTCTTTCTCACTATCTCTTTCTTTCTCTTCTTTCTCTTTCTGTCTCGATCTCTTTCCTTTTCGCTCTCTGTGTCACTCGCCCGTTTGCTCGCTCGCAGCTGTCTTTTAACCCTTTCGCTTTTACACGCTTCTTATTCTATCGATTGTCTCTCTCCCTCCTCTCCTCTTCGTCAATTTCTCCCACCCTCTTCTTCTCTTCTTTTCCTTTCTCTTATATAAAAATGTACATCCCGGGAGCGGGGTATATTAATAATTTGTAAGATCCATTTTGCATCTGAAAGTGAATCTTGGAAATTTGCAAATTTACTCCGTTCCAAAATTCCAAAACTTTCTCTCGTTCCTCCCCAGATCTCTTCTTCTTCTGTCTTCTTTCCCTCTGTCGTGATCTTTCTGTTTATCTATCTACGTATACTCTTCCCGCTTTCTACTTTATACTGTTCTACAATAGGATAATATTACGGCTTGTACTACTGGACCGGGCAGCCTTTCCTGCCCTCGACGCCAGTACGAAGGAAAGGTACATGTCTGTGTTAATCCTTGACGTCTCAAGCTTGTTCGATATTTAAAGCGCGGCAAGGATTAGCGATTTCCGAGCCTATATATATATACTCTGCGCCATTGTTGCTTGTAGGGGCTTTCGTTGGCATATAGCATTAATTTCTTTCCTGTCCATCTATTTCTCACATAGAGAGCTACTACCGCCGAAAATACGTCGCACCAATTGCGAGATTCCTCGCGCGAGGAATCTCACAAAGAATAAATTTCCGATAAGGAAACGAACTGAACGAAGGCGATCTCGATGAGCGAGAATAGCGTACGATTTTTTTTTTCATCACGCTAACTATACAAGCGTTAGAGTGGTTTTCGCTAAATCAAGTCAGCCCTCTGGTGGTACAAGACCGTCGCTTCCTACTCTGTTGTTCTAACTTTCCCTGTTTCACCTCTCCACAGCTCTCGATGTCCTGTGTTATTGTGACTTTACATCATGTACTCGTCGTGTGCCTGTATCTCATTTCCATCCTTCTGCTTTCTTCCTCCCTTCCCTATCCTCATAGATCAGGGATCGAAATTATTATTTTAACGGTTTATCGATTCTCGCCGGATTTTACGCGAATGTAGATAATATTTACTTCCGTTCCCAACAAACATTAATTAACATAAATGTTTGTTATAATTTTCGACTTAACTGTATAATTGTTACGTACAACATGTGTTATATTACAGTTATATTGTTGTGGGAAATTAAAACTATGTTATTGTTAGTTAGTGTGTTTATTCAGTTGTCGAACAAAACAAAATTATGATGGCATCGAAATGACATCAAAATAGCTCCAAAATAATTATTAACTCTAACTAGTATTCGCAAGTTCAATCGTGGACTGGAATATATTTTTTAATTACGTTGTGGAAAGTCGTTTATAATAAATGTTTTTCACAACTTTATAATTTTAAGTTACATAATTTTTCTTTGAATTTTGACCTTTAAAATGAAAAAAAATCATTCAATTACATTAATTTTAAGACTTCTACCTTTTCACTATATTTATCTCAGATTATCAAAAGTGAGAAAAATACATAAAGAAAATTCTCGCAAATTATATTAAAACATATTTTTTAGTAAAATAACATTTGCAATCGACAGAATTGTAAAATATATCGAAATCTCTTCCTGGTCCGGTAATCAAATAAATAACCATGTATTTGAAATTGAATTCTGCCTAACCAGAAAACGAAACAAGCTATATGACAGTTGAGATAAATATGATTTTATTCAATTTCGAAATAAAAGGAGAAATTTCGATATATTTGACAAGTATTTTATCAAATGCAAATATTGTTTTATTGAAAAATAGTTGTTTTAATATACTCTGCAAGAATTTTCATTATGTGTTTTCTCGCTTCTGAAGTTCCGCTTCATTAGTCTGAAGATCCGTGACGAGTGCTTAGGAGTTTTAAGAAAAGCTACATTAATTTAAAGTACATTAAACTCGCGAATTCCAGTTAAAGAAAATTTTGGAGCTAGTATCAATTAAAAATTACTTTTCGATCGATTTTAACATCATTTTGACGTTATCGAGACCTTGTTGTCCTGCTTGGATTGCGTCGAGAATTGATCGGTTTTGATTCCTGATCACGAAATTACGAGTCCGCCTACACTTTGCACAATTACCTTCCTCCCTCTCGCTGCATCACATCCGGTCCTAAAAGAGGAATCGCCGCGTCGAGTGAAAGCCGACGAGAGGCGCTCGCGGATCCTGCTAGAACGGCCGAGTTGATTTTAGTTGTATTACAGTTGCATTTAGGATGACTTGCGTTTAGGTCTCCTTGCGCGCCGATCACGCCGAGTACGAATCATACACCGAAATACGATCACACGTTTACCGTTTGCATGAGAGAGACGCGAATTTGCCAGAGCGATGCGAACCTTAATTAAACGTGAATCTGTGGCGTTTGTATAAATCGAAGATAGTGTGACGTTTGCTTTTATATACCTTGACTGTTGTTGCTTAACCGTGCCGCTGCAAATTAAGTGTGTAGCTGTATGCAGATACGCCAGCAAATAGTGTTGCATTGTGGCCGCGTGCTGCGATTTCGCATTTATGATCGCGGTAGTGCCTGAGAAACCTTTGCACGTTGCTTTTGTTGTGCATCTTGCGTCGCGAGTGGCGATCTCAAGTTCGTCATGTAGAGCAAAATGCTTCGTCCCTTGTCCGATACTAACTCCCTATCATGATTGATCCCTATCGAACGTAAGATTTTGAGCGAAGCGAATTTAAACATCCTAATCGAGCGCAGCTATCTTTGCTTGCTTGTTTACGCAGTTTACACATTGCATCACATTTCTCGCAATGTGTGTATCTTAACAAAAATATGTATTTGCAATCTGAAATTAAAACTGGCCTTGTTTCGCCGAATTCATATTTCGATGCTACAGGTGAGCAAAAGAATTTATTTACGAATCGCAGAACGGTATCGAAATATGAACTTGGCGAAGCGTGTCAGTCGCAATTTCCGGTTTTGTCTTAATCTTCTTTCAACTTAATCTAGAAAATTCTTCATTGAATTCTACATCGCCATATGACCTAATCGAATTGTGACATTATTTGAGAAAGTATTATAACTAAAGAACCGCACTGACGAAGTCAAAACCCAGACAGGACACAAAATCATCATAAGATCAAGTAGAAGTTATTTTAGGAAAAAGTTTTGATCTTATTATGATTTTATGATCTGCTGCGAAAATCTCCGTCAACTGTCAAACTTAAAATAGACGATTAATTAATTAATTACTGATTAATTAATATGACTGAATTATAGTGGCGAGTAGATTTCACAATTATAAGGTTCTCCAGTGACGAGAAACCGGACATCCCGTGTATTTCTTTCTTTTCTTCTTCAGTGAAGTGTCTTCTTTCCACGTATATTCTCTCATTATTTTTCCCCTTATAATTATTGTGATCTCCTTTGCTCCAAAAAACCTTTCAGACATTCGACGAAGATTGAAAGAACGTACACATTTGTCATTATGCTGCCGATCAATTGATCAATCGATTTTCCAGCAATGCTGCATAAAATTGCGATTTAAATCTCTCGAGACGAGAGAGATTACAAAGGGAAGCGTACAAGACAAAAATCTTTCCGATAACGAAAAAAATCACACGATTTGCTTATTCCTTCTCTGTGTATCGCAGCAAGTGAAAATATCGTGTATGTTCGACGAGCGGAATTGTAAACGACTTTCACAAGTTGGAGCAATTGATATTCGCGAGTCATTGAGTCGACAATGCGACATAGTTTTCCGGATATACGAGTCAACCGGAGAAAAATCGCATTTCAAAACGAAAGATACGACAGTTAAATTTCATCCTGCCCGGAAAACGCCACTTTCTATTCTCTATTTCCGTCTTCTTTCTCTGTCTCTCTCTCTCTGTCTCTCTCTCTCTCTCTCTCTCTCTCTCTCGCTCCCTTCTGTCCTTAACCACCCTTAATATCCTGGAAACCTATTCACGTGACACTCGAATCGACATATCGCCTTTTTCCGTTGAGAGAGTCGTCGTCCGTTTGCGATACGTACAATATCGGCAAATGCGCATTACTTGGCGTAGCGTGCATGTTGTTCCGAGCCAGACGCAAAAGCAAAAATGAGAGCAGAGCATTTAGCACGAGGGCGGACGCACGCGCGCGCGTGCCGAGGGCCGAGCGGGGCCCACAGGCCTCGCCGAAGGGCCCGAGGTGTATTCTTCGGGGGTCTGTAAGCTGGGCCACCGTCGCCGTCGCCGCCGCTGCCGTCGTCACCATCGCCCCGCCGCGATATGTCGCGGCGATAACAGCCTTCTTTGCATCGCGTAAGTATCCTCTTCTGAATGTTGTGTGTCGGCGGTATCTTAACAGCGTGCCCGTTAAATCGGGTCGAGGGACACGCATCGTGCATGCGTGCACCGTCAGCAATCGTCGAGCCCGGGGGAATGGCGAGAAAGAACGAATGGAAGAAAGCGAGGGGGTGGCGGAGGGGTTACCTTTTTCAACCCCCGCGCTCACTCGTCGTGGCGGCCTTTTTGGGAAAATGGTCTTTCTCCGAAACGGTAGTCGAACTCATTCTAACGAAGATATAAGTTTGCCGGGCACGCGAATGCATGCAAGCCCCGATCGCAGATGCTAGATTCCTACTCCACGTTTTATTTTTAATTTTTTTAAATTCATTTTCTTTTTCTACTTTTTCTTTTTTTTTTTCTTTTTTCTCTTTTTTTGATGTTCCTTTGTATTACTGTATGGGCTGTCTTGTAACATGTTGCTCTTATACTTGCTGTGATGCTCGATATTTTCCTCGCGCTGCTTGCCGTTAACGTTGGTCCCTTTCTGCTGTGACGATTCTGCCTGAGGTTTGCTGTGTACATTTCTTTTTCTTTATCTCTCTCTCTCTCACGTACACGAAAACGTCGACGAAGAACCGCCATACAGAGTGCATCCTGTTTCTTTCTGGCGTCACGGACGTATGTTGCCAGATTTATAGTTGTCGGAGACGCGTATCTCAGAGAATACGTGGTTCCGCTCTCGAGGTAGGAAATAACCGCCGCGGGATGGATCATCAAACGGTGAGTCGAATCCCTCGATGCGCTTGTGAGTAGAAATTCCA